CCGGGCGCTGGCGTTCCCGTCCATCCCTGGGTGGGAATCGCAGAGAAACGTGAGCGTTAGCACTGCAGGAGCCTGGGGCTGAGCCCAGCAGCACCGGTCCCATCACAGATGCCATGTCGCCCCGGCTCTTGGGGACCCACCGGCACAGCCCCCTCCCCAGCACAGCTCCCCAGCCCCGCAGCACACCCCAAAAAGTCTGAGTGAGCGCGGCTGCACCGAGACCTTTGCCTGTCTGCAAGGAATCACGTTGCTTTCCCTCCCTGCCCCGCAGGACTTCAGTGTTCAGGAGTGGATCAGAAAATAACTTGCTTTCGTAAGAGGGGTGAGCTCAATGCAACAGGATCCCGTCCCGAACCCCCTGGCATCTGGTGCCCTTTGCAGCACCCTCGCAGCATCCTGCCCCGCGCCCGAGTCCACATCGATGCCAGCCAGCGCCCTACATGGGGAAGCCAGGCTCTCTGCCCCAGGGAGACCATGTAGCTGTTAATAAACATTAGCAAATTGCTAGGGCTTTTGATGGCCACATGTGTCCGTCAATATGTGCTTGTCAGTCACGGTGAGGCTGCAGTTAATGCTTGCAAAATCTCTTTTGCAGTGAAGGGGTAGTACGAGGGGCACGTCTATATTTATCCCTTCGAACTGAGACAGCAGCTACGAGCGCACAGCGTTGGCTTCCCCGACCCAGCTGTAAGATCTGGCCACAGCCACCAAAACAAAATCCAGAGGGACACCTTGCTGTGACACCTGCAGACCAGGGCTGGGCAGTATCAGATTTTCCCCCATCAGTGAATTATGGGCACAAGATGGTGCATTAGGGGCACGGGGGGATGCACGCTGGAGTCCTGCTGCTGTGAGGGGCTGGCATGGTGGGAGCACTGGGGGATATTGGGGGACAGGAGACTGGTGTTGGGCCAGCCTTGCCAAAATGCTGCCTGCTGCTGCACATGCAGCAGCACCTGGGATGGCCCCAGCAGTGTGACGGCAGCCCCGTGCAGTTCTCGAGGAACAGTGGGGCTTGTCTTACACCATCTGTCCCAGCAGGAGCTCGGCATCATCCACCGGCTCATTCCTCCGGCATGTTTCCAAAGGGGCCGGCGACCCTTCCCTTTGCGGAAGGGCCAGGGCCCATTCAACGGTGGGGAAAGGCTGCCTTGCCCCAGGCTGGGACTTTGCCTGGAGGCATGGGGATGTCCGTCCCAGGGTCCCGCAGGGCTGCACTGCACCGTCCAAGCAGGGAAAGCACCATTTCTCCCTCTCCTCTCGTGACTGTGGCTGAAAGCCACTCACCGGCTGTGCTAATAAATGAGCGCAGTGGGAAAGAAAGAG